CTTGCTCACATGGTTGTCCTTCATCTAGTGTTCTGCCAATCCTATTTAGGATGACTCGAGTGAACAGCTTGTAAATGACAGACAATAGGCAGGTTGGGCGATAGTCGCTAATGTCATGGATGTCTCCCTTCTTGTACAGTAGTACAGTCCTGCTGGTTTTCCATTGGGACAGAACCTTGCATTCAGAGAGGTAGTGTGTGAAGAGCCGAGCCAGGTTATTGATGAGTAGGTAGCATGTGAAGAGCCGAGCCAGCGTGTTGATGAGTACTGACGCCAGGTTATTCAGGTGTTCAGGTCTGAACTTGTCTGGGTGCTGTTCATTTCTTTACCAATAAAATGGCTTGTCAGATTTAGGAAGGGAGAATTTTGACAATGACATATCCATCCTGCAATTAGAGGTCACCCCAAAAGCCTCTATCCCTCTTGGAGAGCCTAGCAAGCTACTGAGAGTATTCCGCTTGCACGGCAGAGCCTGGCAAGCTATCTGTTGTGTATTTGATATGCCAAAACCAGTAATTACAATGGGTCTCATTCCCCTGACCCTAAAGGAGTAACCAATACAGCAGTGTTGAGAAGGATGAGGAAGGAGAGGCTGATAAAATCTCAAGGCCAAACTAGGCTGCCAAAATGAAGAAAGACAAAAATGATTGTCTGTATTTTCAATGCATGTATGCTGGCATCAGATGCATCCATCGAGGATCTGATGGTACAAAAGCGAAAGATCAAGTATGACATCATTGGTCTGACCGAGACAAGAAGGCATCAATCACATCATACCTTTTTCGACACTGGAGAAGAACTGTTCCTCGAAACATGTGATAAAAGAGGCATCGGAGGTGTCGGTCTCCTTGTCAACACGAACTTGGCCATGAGCATTGATTCATTCGAATGCCTAACAACCCAAACGGGACGATTACACTTGAATAGATGTGTGGCTCACTGCCGGCAGTTTCTATCTTCGTTGTCTATGCACCAACATCCAATTATGATGAAGGAGAAATTGAGAAGCGAAAACTCTTGAGCTTATTCTCCAATGAGGTTTGGCGCATGCCTCAGGCAACCGCAAGTGAACATTCGAGCTCGCAAAGCAGTGCAGAGATGCGATAAAGGAAGACCTCAAAGAAAGAAGAGCAGAAGTGCTGGTAGATGTGGCATAAGCCGGGAAAAGCATTCATAATGCCCGCCTGTCCTTCGCCAACTACTAGACCAAGATGACTGCCATCCAACATCCTGATGGATCTATCACATCTTCCAGAAGAGCAATGGTGAACATTATCCATGACTTCTACTCAGATCTCTTCAATAGCAACGTCTACCTGCCCATATACCGAATTCCACAGCCACTAAACAATTTATTTTATTTATTTATTCATTTTTGGGTCATACCTAGCGATGCTCAAGGGTTCCTCCTGGCTTTGCACTTAGGAAATACTTGTGGCGGTGCTTGGAGGATCATATGGGATGCCGGGGATTGAACCCAGGTTGGCCGCGTCCAAGGCAAATGCCCTACCTGCTGTACTATTGCTCTGGCCCCAGCCACTAACCAATTTGATTACAAAAGACGAGGTTATTGAATCTGACTTATCAGAAGAGGTTCTAGAAAATAATATTTACACATCTATCCATATAAGAGTATCAGATGTTTTGTTTGTCTGTTTGTTTTTTGATCTGCCTGAGTGGTTTTAGTTTCTTTCATTCATGATAGCATAGATAGAAATTTTAATGGTGCCACAACTATTTCCTTCTTAACAAATCATTTCAATCACTTGCATCTACTCCTTAAGATTGCATTGAAAAAATAATCTTAAATCATCCAAGCTAGCAGCTCAGGAAGTGGGTGTGTGGAGGTATGTCAGGGGTGTGTGTGGGGGGGGGGGGGGGAAATGGGGGGTGTTGAAGGGAAAATTTGACCTGAGTTTAGATAATGAATGTGGACTGTGAGTCACATACTTACAACAAGGTGCCCCAGAGGAGTTAGCAAGAGACCGCTCAAGAGAATGTGGGAAACCAGAAGACATTGAGGGCACTGTGAAGGAAGGTGGTGATGGATTGCATACAGAGAGCCCCCAACCACAGAGTGAGACAGCCAGCGCAGAACAGTTACTTCTATGCAAAACCATTTGTTCTTCATAACCTTGTCAGTCTAAATGCAAATTAGCTTGTGTAGACCTGCTCATTGCAGAGTGGGCCTTTGTTCAGGGCCCAGAGTTGCCAGGGTAGCCTAAACTCTTGCCTGCATGAATAAACTCCTTTTTCTTCAACCCGCCTTGACATGCAATCTTGACTCCTTGGACTTTCTGCAAGTTGCCTTAGGGGAGTCAGAGGGAAAGAGAGGAATGAGTTTCACTGTTTCTGTGGGGAAATTGTTTAAATTTGTTGAGTAAATGAGAGAGAAAGAGAGAGGGGAGAGAGAGAGAGAGAGAGAGAAACTAATGCACATTATTATGATCTGAATAAGATAGACGATCTGGAGATTTATTCTGCAACATGGAGGCCATGTTAATAAGCTCGGAGGAAATTTAGGGGGAAAAAGAGTTGGACGATAAGACCTGAGAATTTGGCTCAAGAGGTGTACCCAGAGTAAAATAAATGTGAGAACCATCTTCAGTACCTGCCCATCTTTTGTGGTGGGGCAATTGAGGTTGCACAGAAAGTAGCCTGCCAACCTCAGCACTGGCTAGACAGCCCACAAGCATGGGCTCATCGTACACTGACATCACAGGAGAGGCTCCTATCAGACCCAGGAGGACAGAGCTTGGAGCCTGCCCTGCCCTAGGGGCTGTCTGGGCCCTGAGGCTGCCATGGATTCCAGGCTCCTCTGCTGGGTGGCCCTTGGGCTCCTGGGAGCTGGTAAGTCCTGGGCACAGGGGAGGCCTGGGCTGTGGCTTGCCAACCTGGGAACCCCCATGCCCACCATGAGGGCTGCAGAAGGAGGCACCCCTGTGTCTGCCTCAGCCCTTTATCTCTGATTGCCAACAGGCCCTGCAGATGCTGAGGTCACTCAAAACCCCAGACACCTGGTCAAAGTAAGGAGTCAACCAGTGACCCTGACATGGAACTATGAATCCGGACATAATTTTGTATACTGGTATCAACAGGCCCTGGGCCAAGGCCATCAGTTCTGAGTGGAGTATTTTGAAGAGAGACAGAGAAACAAAGAAACATCCCTGATCACTTCTCAGTCCAACAGTTCAAGAAGAACTCCAGCTCTGAGCTGAGCGTAAGCTCCATGGAAGTGGCCGACTCTGCCCTGAACCTCTGTGCCAGCAGCCTCAGAGCCTTGCCTACTCAGCTACCTCCTGCACAAAAACACCCCTGTCCAGTCCAGGAAGTGGCAGTGAGACAAAGAGCTGCCAGCCAGTCACTCTCTATACAGAGGAAAGTCTCTCTATGTTATCGTATGGGAACCAAAATAATATAGGAAATTTCTTTTACCTGCTAACTTGACAAAGATTGAGTTAATTAAGATTACCGGAGTTAAATACTGGACTAGAGGAGCAAGGTCTCAATCACATTGTTTTCTTCCAAACCTGTGTTTCTTTCACCTTGCATTGTAGTTAGACCTTACTCTTCATTTTTCTAGAGCCAGAGTGGGACTGGAAATATTATACATCTCGCATGATATCTCAGCTCTGTCCCTGACATTAAGAAGCAAAGGACATCCACTGATGGCCTTAATTACACAATGTAGCTCCTGCACTGCCATGACATGAACCTGGCCAGTGTCCACCCAGGAAAGAGGTTCATTTCAGTTGTGCTTTCTCAATTAATAACTGAGAAAAAATAAAACAATAACAAAATTGCAATAAAAAGGTGCTCGATTTGAGCATAATATAATAACCAAAAAGGAAAGGAACATGAAGAATCACTAACATTTTAGTCATGAAACATTTCTGTTCACACAATTGTTTTCTAATAAAATGGAACAAGGCCTGAGAGTGGACTTAAGGATCTAAAAGGCTCAAAGAAGGGTTTATCTATGATTCTGTGGGCTGTCAGTCACCTGGAGGCGCTATTCACACACTTACTGCCAGTCACCCTAGAGGGAGACAGGCTGTGGGAAGGGAAGTCCTTCACATCTTCTCACTGGTATGGGTGATTTGAGTCAATGCTGGTGTCAAAGGATGACTTTGAACAGCAGGGCCCAGATTATTGTCCTTCTTAGAAGGACAGTACCTCTGCTTTTGTTGTGGGAAAGGATTCATGCTCCACAGTCATGCAGAGAAAGTATTGCTTTAGCATGGGTTTGTATGAATCTAAAGGAGTTACCAGCCTACTTTCATGTTCCAATTCTGGAAGAACACGGACTCAAACACTGTTCCTCCATCCCTGTTCCCCCATGGCCCACCATGGACATGAACATCAGAGATCTTACTGATTTTCCTAATTGCTTTTCTTGATATCTTCCCACCTCTTTGCACCTGCATCAGCACATCCTCTGCTCCTGCTGCAGTGCACAGCATTCCTCCTCCTAGAATACAGCAGACTGGAAGAACTATGAGTTCTCACATGGTGATCTCCAGTGTCTTAGGCTCAGCAGGTGGATGGATACCCAGGAAAAAATTTATAGCAGGTTCAGGGACAATTTCAACCCCATGGTCAGTAACCAAATCAGGAGAGAACTCGAGACCTGGGACGCAAGAGTCAGGCCACCGGGAGTACATATGCTTCTTAATACATTGAACATACAACACATATTTGCTTGAATAAATCTGGAGCATTATGAAAATGACACCATGTGATTGAAATATCTAAGTCACAAATTGGCTAAGAAAATGACAAGGCATCTTAATTCAGACAATACATGACAATGTATTCTTCATTGAAATCAGCACATTTGTGCATGAATTTTTACTTTCCCTGAGCAAAGGCGGGACCTTGGCATGGGCTAGGGAGGGTGGGCCCAGACAGGAAGGTGACACGTGGTGATGTGTCCTTAAGGAGAACATCCGCTCTCACCATCACACACACAGCAGACACTCCTCTCCCCTGCCCCTGCCATGAGTGACCCCCTTCTCTCCTGTGTGATCCTCTGGCTACTTCAGGCAGGTGAGATCTGGGGAATCTCCTTTATTGATGCTGTTAGCTCCGATGGAGTAATAGACCAGCTTCAGGCCTTGTCCCTCATCTTGTCTGTGTGTTTTCATGGTGAAAATATCCCTGTCCCATGTTCAGCCTTCTTCTGCTGTGTCTACAGCATTGACTTCTTCTTCTACAGGTCTCGGCCAGGCTGGTGTCACTCAGATGCCTACATTCCAGCTCCTAAAGACAGGACAGAGTGTGACACTAATGTGTGTCCAAGATATGAAGCATGACTACATGTACTGGTACAGACAAGATGAGGGACAAGGCCTGAAGCTGATCTATTACTCCAATGAAGATAATATCGTGGATAAAGGAGAAGTGGCAGACGGGTACAGCGTCATTAGAAAGAAGACCGAGAGCTTCCCCCTCACGCTGGAGTCGGCTGCGCCCTCCCAGACATCTGTGTACTGGTGTGCCAGCAGTCTGTCCACAGTGCTGCAGGGCTGTCTCCTCTCTGCACACAAACACTGCCCTGCCCCCAACCCCAGGCCATAAAAGAGCTTTTGCAGATTCTCAGCATAAGGAGTCTGGAGCCCTGTATTTTCGGTCATGCTTGTGAACTCACTTGTGCTGAGGTTTTGTGGGGAGTCTTGGCCCGACTGGCTAAGTAAGACTGGAGCTTGAAGTGGAGATGGCGATGTCTTTGTTCCCTTGTTTCCACAGCTACCAAACTTTTTTTTCTCCAGTACTATTCTTTTGGACAACTTTGAACTTCTCACTGGTTCTCACAGTCTGACCTCCACCTTCATGAATAACCTGGGATTCTCTTGCTCCTTTTATATTTCAAATTGCATAGCAATGCCTCCTAAACAAACAAATGAACCAGGCACTGAAAGGAAAGGGTATTCTAGGAAATGTGGCTCAACTTCTCAGCAAGGTAAGTTTCCAATCTAGGACAGAACTGGAGCTCAGCAACACTGATCTTATGAAAAATGAGAATGCATCCTTGGAGTTGAGGGGTTAGCCATAAGATCTGGAGTGATAGCAGAAGAGAGTGTCATAGAGATACTTTCCTCAAGGAAAGGCTAGAGAGATTTAGAATGGGTATGCCACTTGCTTTGCATGCAGCCAACTTAGGTTTGATTCCGAAAATCACGTATGGTGCCCAAGCACTGAACCAGGTAGAAGAGTGATCCCTGAGTACAGAGCCAGGAGTGAGCCCTAAGCACTGACAGTTATAGCACCAAACAAAAAAAAATTTTTTTAAATAATATTCTTGAAAAAAAAAGAATATTCTTGATTCTTGCCAAGAGCTGAGCAGAGAGCCAAAAGAGCCAAAATCATGTCAAATAATTCCAAAAAGAATTATCTGTGATATACTTCCAACCTACTGAAAACGACTTGTTCCACAAGAGCTGATACTTCCCATGCTTTTTTCAGCTAAGAACCCAGAATATCAAGTCTCCTAGGATGAAGTTACAACAGAACAAATATGAAGGTCACTGGACTCATCTGCTCTGCTATCACATCTGGAAAAATGGCCTCTCTACACATTTTCTCCTGGACAAGTCTAGCAGACTCAATTTATGACCCAGGGAGTATCTTAAAGAATAAAATCCAGAACATTTGATTCCAAAATAATATTGCTGCTTTGTAAAAGTCAGAAAGAAACACAGGAGGAAACAGCTCCCGGACAGTCTTCAGTTGGCTGGTGATGGAAGGTTGCTTTTGGTGTCCTGTGACTGCATATTGAGTTCCATAGTAGGAATTCAGAATAGGTGAGGGTGAATTTGTCCCTGGTCAACAGTGATATCAGTCTTAGTTTGTAAAGGAATGTTCACTTGTTGAACAAACATCAGAGTTTGTGTGATACCATAGTCAACTGCTATAGAACTTTTCTAATTGAGTGGTGTGAAGAATTTTTGGAAGGCAGGAGTCCTACATGCTCACAATTGAGAAATTTTAGTGTCATGGTCTGAATGCCTCTGCTTGGTCTCTTTCCATCTAACATAAGTCTTACAATGATGCAACAATAAATCCCATTATCAAAACATTCCTTTAGAAATCTTTGCCTCCAAAGACTTGACAGTGGTTTGTGAGATGATCCAACTGGGAAAGCAGAAAAGTGATCCTTGAAAGGGAATAACTTGGGAGTTGGTGGAGAGGGGCGATTTGAGGAAATTTCTGCACTTGAATTGGACATATGTGAATCCATCAGGCTGACTTGCAGACACTAGGAGGCGCTATACACCCACAAACGGCAAGGCACCAAGAGAGGAAACTGTCCTGGGCTCAGAAGAAAAACAGATTCCATGGCAGACAAGGTAGGTGGTTTGGTTTCACCAGAAGATTCTGTACATGAGCTAACTCAGCGTCCTAAGCCCTGGTAGCGTAAATGCACCTGGAACCTCAGTCAACAGCAGAGAAGCTGGACCAGAAAAGAAGGTAAAAAGAGCCGGAGCAGCTGAAATAAGAAACTGGAGTCAGACAAAGGAGGCTCCAGAATACTGGATGCCTATGCATGGAAAGAAAGGCACCCACCTTATGTAGGAAGACTTCATAGTAGGAAATGATGCCTGGAATCTCATGACAGGCCAATGGTGCCCCAGACCAAGACATAGCCTGCATTCAGGGCATATCACAAAATGACATTACACAGTGACTCACACAGTGACATCACAGCAGAGGCTCCTATCAGCACCAGGAGGACAGAGATTGGAGCCTGCCCTGCCTAGGGGCTATCTGGGCCCTGATGTTGCCATGGGCTCCAGGCTCCTCTGCTGGGTGGCCCTTGGTCTCCTGGGAGCAGGTGAGTCCTGGGCACAGGGAAGACCTGCGCTGTGCTTTGCCAGGCATGGGAACCCCCTGCCCACCATGAGGGCTGCAGCAGGAGGCACCCCTGTGTCTGCCTCAGCCTTTTCTCTCTGCTCCCCAACAGGCCCTGCAGATGCTGAGGTCACTCAAAGCCCCAGACACCTGGTCAAAGCAAGGAGTCAGCCAGTGACCCTGACATGCAACTATGAATCCGGGCATGAGTCTGTGTACTGGTACCAACAGGCCCTCGGGAAAAGTCTTGACTTCCTTGTTTCATATTACGGTGGGCAAGAGAGTCAGAAAGGCAGCCTCTCTGATCGCTTCTCGGTCCAACAGTTCAGTGAGGACTCCAGCTCTATGCTGATCATGAGCTCTGTGGAAATGGCCGACTCTGCCCTGTACCTCTGTGCCAGCAGCTTATCACAGCCCTGCCTGCTCAGCTTCCTCCTGCATAAAAATACCCCTGGCCACCCAGGAAGTGGCAGTGAAGGGGAGCCACTAGGCAGTCCCACCTGTATGAGGACAGTCATTCTGTGTATGGGGAGGATTCAATATTTCAGAGTCAAGCAGGATATGTACTGTTGCACCTGTTTTTAATTGAATGAAAGTAATATTTAAGTATCACTTTGTAACTTGGGAGTTGATTGACTCCAATAGTATTTACTCCTGGGCATCTGCTCTCTACTCAGTTGCCCTTAGTTCCTAGCACCTCAAAAGCAGTGTCCCGACAAGGTACTGAATGGACCCAGAGCAAGCTGTGAGCTACCCTGGCATCGAAATGCACCAACCAGGTCAAAACGCCACAATACTCAATTATAAGTTGAGAGCATGATCTAGACAATTTCTGTCATGATCCAAAAGTAACGAGACTAGGACCCTGCTGGGGTTAGGAAGACTAACCTGGTCTGAGGACTGTGGTAAGACGTCATCAGAAAGAAGCAAACTTTAAGTTGATATATCTCTTACTGTGCTCGTGCAGAATGACATTGCTAGAAATATTAGAAGTAGATTTACTACAACTATTTAAGTGGATTACTAGTTGAGGAAAGAAGAAATCAACACACCCTGAATGGGATCCTGCCCTTAAGTGGATCTCCTAGTAATCCAGAGTAATCTCTTTAGATGAGATTTTATCCTTGAGTTAATGTCCTAGAGGAGTGGTTTTACCTCTCTTTGTTGATTTGTTAATGTTCAGCCCACCTTTGTGTCACCACCCTGTATGATTGCTATATAAACTAAGACTGTAAGAACGGAGGGGAGCAGAGTCAAATCTAGGGGCCAGCATCAGGATCCAGGGGCCAGAGTCAGAATCCACAGGGAGAGAATCAGAATCCAAAGAGAAGGGCTCCAGAGAGAGAAGCAGAAGAGCTCCAGAGAGAGATCAAAAGAGACCAGAGGAGAGACTACAGAGACAGAGTCAGAAATAGAGAGACAGACAGAAGAGAGCACAGCAGCACGCACAGAAGCAAAACACAAAGGAGGAGCCATCCCGATCCCGTCCAGAGACAGCGGTTGGAGTGCACTGAATGCAGGCAGCGAGAGAGATCTGCCAACAACACATCATCATCTTAGCATTCCTCCCCCGCATGCGCATAAGATATATTTTTTTACACTCAGCAGGCCTAAAGCCATGGGAGTGGGTACAGGTCTCTATATATCTCTAGAGAGAAGACTGCGAGCTTCTGAAATCGGTCTAGGGGTGACAGAGGTGGATTGGGAGAAAGTGGCCATCTCCTCTCCAACTCACATTAGCCACCTTTTGGGACCCACCAACTTCAGAGGCAAGCCTCCCTCCTGTTTGTATTGACCTTCTGGAACTTGGTTTGAGGAATCAAAGCTCTGTCTTTTTCTGGAGAAGTCTAGCCTTGAATTTATGGTGAAGATGACTTTGCAGAACTGCAAGGACACATGACTTTGAGTCAATGAATACAATTTTACTTTTGAAAAAGACAAAAGTCAACTGAGTAGTTTTCTTCCTTAATAGATTTTTCTATTAAAAAAAATCTACTAGTTTTTTTTTTTTTTTTTGCTTTTTGGGTCACACCTGGCGATGCACAGGGGTTACTCCTGGCTCTGCACTCAGGAGTTACTCCTGGCGGTGCTCAGGGGACCATATGGGATGCTGGGAATCGAACCCGGGTCAGCCGCGTGCAAGGCAAACGCCCTACCCACTGTGCTATTTCTCCAGCCCATCTACTAGATGTTTTAGATGCAAAAATCTTAGATGCAAAACTTTGTATCCAAGTGCTTTTCATTCTTAGTTGCAGTGGCCATTTCAGTATACAGAACAGATAAGAGTGATGATGCCCTTTTGGGTGGCAATGTCAACTCTTAGTTGATAAAAGAACATTCACTCTTTGGATAAGCATCGGAGGGTTGGATTGTACATCCATTTATCAGGTAGTACTGGAAAATCTACTTTTTTTTGTTTTTTTTTATAATTTATTTATTTATTGAATCACTGTGGGAAAAGTTACAGAGCTTTCAGGTTTAGGTCTCAGTCATGTAAATATCAAGCATATTTCCCTTTACCAATACTTATTTTTGACCGTGAACCCCAATAGAACCCCACCTCCCACCCCTCCCAATTCCTGTGAGGCAGATGAGTTCTAGTTAACACTCTATCTACTTTGACTAGATTAATTGTTTCGATAAAAGATGCACCATTATTATTTAGAGTTTACGACCCTCCCCAAATCAGACATGCTGAAAAAGTGTTGTGAAATGATTTGCTTTCTACAGCTGGGTTTTAAGAATTAAATGATGTCGTGCGGCCGCGATAGCGGTTTTGGATTTCTGCTATTTTACTTATTAACCCTGGAAGTATTTCTATTAAAAGTTAGATAGTTAAGAGATTGGTTTCTGTGCTCTGGAGTCGTGGCCGTGCCGGAGAGCCGCTCGTGGGGGGCAACTGGTGACCTCGGTAGGGCGTGAAGGACGGACCGGAACGCCCCCCTTCCCATGAGGTCCCTGCCGCCCCCACCCCCGGCTCAAACCTGCTGTCCACAAGGCTCCCGTGCGGCCGCCATCTTTCTTTCCAGAGAGTAGAGGGCGGAAAATCTAGTTTTAAATGACCCTTTCATTAAACAAATGAGATAAAAATCTACATACTATTATGATAGGATTTTCTTCACAATTTTCTTCATTTTCCCACGTAACAAGAGAAAGGATATTTTTGCATTTGAATTTTTATATAATGATGCTTACATTCAAAATGAGAGTGAAGTTTAAGCAGTGGTAAAACTACCTATGGACGAGGCTGGAGCAATAGCACAGCGGGTAGGGTGTTTGCCTTGCACACAGCCGACCCGGGTTCAATTCCCACATTCCCATATGGTCCCCCAAGCACCTCCAGGAGTGATTCCTGAGTGCAAAGCCAGGAGAAACCCCTGAGCATCACCAGGTGTGACCCAAAAAGCAAAAAAAAAAATAAATAAAATAAAAAACACAACTACCTATGGACAGCAAATTGGGTTATTTCAAGAATTCTTTATATATATTCATGTTCATACAAATTATATGCTCCCCATCTTTGCAAAGTACACTATTTGAACTTAGCCACTAACCAATTTAAATACAAAACATGGAGCTGTTGAATCTTACTGATCAAGAGAGGTTCTAGAAAATAATATTTACAAACGTATCCATGTTAGATGATGAGATTTTTTTTTTATCTGCCTGAGTGTTTTTGGTTTCTTCTGTCCATGGTAGCATGGATAGAAATTTCAATGGTGCCACAACTATTTCCTTCTTAACAAATCATTTCAATCACTGGCATCTACTCCTTAAGATTGTATTGGAAAAACAGCCTTAAATAACTCAGGCTAGCTGCTCCAGAAGTGGGTGTGTGGAGGTATGTCAGGGGTGTGTGTGGGGGGCGGGGGGGGTGTTGAAGTGAAAATCTGACCTTGGCTTAGATAATGAACGTGGACTGTGAGTCACATACAACAAGGTGCCCTAGAGGAGTCAGCGTGAGACAGCTCGGGAGAATGTAGGAAACCAGAAGACATTGAGGGCATTGGGGGCTGTGAAGGAGGGTGGTGATGGATTGCATACAGAGAGCCCCCAACCACAGCGTGAGACAGCCAGCACAGAACAGTGAGTTCTATGTAAAACCTTCATTCTTCATAACCTTGCCAACCTAAATGTAAATTGGCTTGTGTAGACCTGCTCGTTGCAGAGTGAACCTTTGTTCAGGGCCCAGAGTTGTCAGGGTAGCCTAAACTCTTGCCTGCATGAGTAAACTTCCTTTTCTTCTACCCTCCTTAGCCTGCAATCTTAACTCCTTGGGCTTTCTGCAAGGTGCCCTAGGGGAGTCAGAGCGAAACAGAGGAATGAGTTTCACTCACTGTTTCTGTGGGTAAACTGTTTAACTTGGCTGAGAAAATCCTGGTATATATAGGAGCTAATGGACACTGAAGATCTGGACAAGATTTACTCTGCAACAAGGATGCCATGTTAATAAACTCAGGGGAGGCATGGGTACTCAAGCATTGTATGACTGAAACACAAGCATGTACATATGTAACTCTATAACTGTACCTCATGGTGACTCACTAATAAAAAAAATTTTAAAAATAAATAAACTCATGGGGATCTTAAGGGGTAATAAAGAGATGGACGGCTAAGATTGGTGAATTTGGCTCCAGAGGTAAACAAATATGAGAACCATGCTTACCACCTGCCATCTTTTGTGGAGGGGCGATTGAAGTGAAGGGTTGCATAGAGAGTAGCCTGCCAACAGCACTACATGCTAGACAGCCCACAGGCAGAGGCTTATCACACAGTGACATCACACAGTGACCTCACAGCAGGGGCTCCTCTCAGCACCAGAAGGACAGATCTTGGAGCCTACCCTGCCCTAGGTGCTGTTTGGGCCCTGAGGCTGCCATGGGTTCCAGGCTCCTCTGCTGGGTGGCCCTTGGTCTCCTGGGAGCAGGTGAGTCTTGGGCACAGAGAGGGCCTGCGCTGTGCTTTGCCAGGCCTGGGAACCCCCTGCCCACCATGAGGTCTGCAGCAGGAGGCGCCCCTGTGCCTGCCTCAGCCCTTTCTCTCTGCTCCCCAACAGGCCCTGCAGATGCTGAGGTCACTCAAAGCCCCAGACACCTGGTCAAAGCAAGGAGGCAGCCAGTGACCCTGACATGCAACTATGAATCTGGGCATAATGCTGTGTACTGGTACCAACAAGCCCTGGGGAAGAGTCTTGACTTCCTTGTTTCATATTACACTGGGCAAGAGAATCAGAAAGGCAGCCTCCATGATCACTTCTCAGTCCAACAATTCACGAAGAACTCCAGCTCTAAGCTGAGCATAAGCTCCATGGAAGTGGCCGACTCTGCCCTGTACCTCTGTGCCAGCAGTCTCACAGCCCTGCCTGCTCAGCTGCCTCCAGCACAAAAACATCCCTGGCCACCCAGGAAGTGGCAGCAAGAGCAGGCAGCCATGCTGCAGGGCTGAGCTTGTGCAAAGGATAGTCTCTGTGCCCTTAAGTTTGGGGGGCAATTTTGTGTTCCAGGAGCAAAAGGGAAAAGTGTTCTCTCACCTATGTATATAGCAGAAGGGAAGGGCTTTTCCCTGTCACAGATCAAATCAATAGT